TGTGCTCCGCTCAGAATCTAATATCTAATTATTTAGAATTTGTCATTAACTTACCTCAATGTCACCAATAATTTCACTTCTGGAGTGATACTTTTTCTGAAATTAGTATCAGGTTTTCAAATTTCATCGTTAAGTATTTCTAGAATATAATCAAACGTGTCGGTACTCATTCGTGTAAAATTTCTAAATTTACATTCGTCATATCAAAGTTCATGAATAAAACATTTAATTGTATTGTTTTCAGTTCGTTTCAAGTTCAAAGGATGAACCCAAAGTTTTTTTTTATTTTCTTCCTGTTCAATTTCTCTTAAAAGAAACCATAAAATATTAATAGCAACGTCCATCTCGTCGGATGACATTTTGACGACTACTTGATATACTTCGATTTGGCTAACTATGTTTTATCTAGTGTGCGACAACAATGTTTTATTATGACTAAAGCGTCTAAAGCAAAATGACTAAATATGACTTACATTTCTTCAGTCAATTTTTCTTACCAGTGTGCGGACACCGTTACTGAGTTCGCTGAGTGTGGCAGAAATAAAAACAACTATTTATTATTCATTATTTGGATTTATGATGATAGTTGTGATCATTTATTACTTAACAATATTATGCTCCTCTATTACATTATTAAGACAATTTTAGTACCAAAGCAATTATTATGAGAACCGTAGAATGAAATATGAAATATTCGGTGAAAAATTAATTAACAATCCAAAGTACCATCCATTAAAGTTATATTTATTTAAAATTCAAATGTTACCATTCTAAAGAAAAAAGAATATTAAATAAATATTTTAATAAAAAGAAACTAAACAAGTGAATAAAAATCAACTGAATAAGTATATCTGATATTATATAGTTTTAACTGTTTTAAGATTCTTAAGGAAGCGATGAAAGTATTGATTTTACAATGGTTTTTTTTTGTATATTATATATTTATATTGTGTACTTCGGAGCTATAAATAAAAAATTCCAAGTCATTTTACAAATAATCAGGAATAATTAGAGAAAAAGGGATATTTTTCATTTTGTACACAAAAGTCAACAGTTTTTAGCAAAATCGGATTTATTTCTTAGTATAAGTCTTTGTTTGGTTGAGTCATTAATTTAAGCTATTACCTACCTGTATTTTATCATAATATTCAAATATTATTTCTAATAGGGAAATACATTTCTATATTAGCTATATAAATTGTTAGTAAAATAATCTTACTAATTACTTAGTCATTATGCAGACGGCTGACGGATCTTCTTCGCTAAGAATCATTTTTTATATGCATTTCTTAGTTATTTATCATTGAACTACAATTTAACACGTTTATTACAGTGACCTTCTTAATAATTATGAGGTACATTTGACTCCTATCTTAGTGTAGTGCAGTTACCTATACTAAAAATGTAGATAACAGTTAAGTTCTATGATTTTTTTTCTTTTGTGGTAATTTCTATACATAATTTATCGTTATAGACTTAACGTATAACGTAGATTATCTATGAAGAATGGACAGATTAAATATTGTATAGTTTTTAGTTTGTCTCACAAAGTACTTAAGAATCTATAAGAAAGAATGTTTCGTAAATTTAAAGATTATGGATAAAGATTGTTTTCAATTTCTTAAGAACCTGACTACAAAGATTATATCTGAGAAATGACAAACTTAAAATATCTATCAAGCGAAAAAAAATGCTCATAGTATTCTCTGTGAAAAAACCGAATATAAAATGCGTTAGAAAGTTATTTTTCATGCTCAAAATATTTTATACTTCTCAATGCTTATAACTGAACACGATGTGTCCACGAAGCACTTCGAAACTACTCAACTGATTTTGATAAAATTATGATCAATGTGTGTGATTAGGTCTGACTCATAAGATAGGACAGTTGGGATATCTCATACTTGATTTACATTTTTTACAGATTAAAAATCTGTACATTTTATTATAAAATCAAATATTCAGCCAGGGAGGGGGAAAAGGGCAACTAATATTTTTATTTAGTTTACCATGCTTTTGTAATTGTTTTATGCCACCATTAGTAACGTACGGAGAAGAAATACGAGGAGGGTAGTACAATAATTATTTAATACATTTAGCAAATCATATTGTAAGTAGATGGATTTTTGTAGTGGTATACATCTTACTATACAATTATTATAATACAAATTAAATCCGCTCAGATAGGTTACTCGTCGAGTGGTGTAAGACATTGCTCGTTTATCCGTATTTTAAATTATTATGTTTGACTACAATTCCCTATATGTGATTGAAATTCCAAAACTTATAAACAAGAAAGTAGCTGTATTGAAGAATTAAATTAATTACAAAAATCGAAAATAACAATTTTCCTATAGTTGCTGAATATTTGTTAGTCAACTAAAACTATATATGACTAAACGTTGTTTTATGGTGTCTAACCTTGTATAATTTTAATAAATCTTAAACTGACGTTATTTCCTAGTATACTATCTTAAAATAATAATGGTTAAAATTATTTGACTCGCGTAATAAACGTAAACGTGACTAATTAATTATTTCGAAAAATTGATGGTATAGAAGGCAAACATTTAAGTAACTGTAAATTATAAATATTTTCAGTCAAATGAATATAAGTTTGCATACTATAGGTACGTCGCATTACGATTATCCATGTGCATTGTGTATGTATACCATTATTATTTATTTGACGAATTTTAATAGAATTTCACTCATTGATTAATAATACTGTATACAACTTGACAATATATATTACATAATTTATTACCTACCATTTTGTTGCTAGAATCAAAACTTTTTTCAGTCAATCTGAACGTTTTAAAAAATATTCAAAAACAAATTAAAAATGTGTGTATAAAGATATTACTTAATACCGTATTATTATATAATTATTAATTATTATGTCACGAACAGCAGTTTTTTTTTATAGGTTTTTTATTTTTTTTTTAATCGTAAAAATATTTTGCTTAAATCTCGAGAAAAAATGAATGTTTTTTATAACTTTTTATGGTTATAATTGTTTTAAGATTTTACTCATTTAAATGTCAACATATATTTCAATTTCATATTACCTGTCATAATATTGATTTGATAATTGCATTGGATAGTTGTTAATTATTTAAAACTTAAAAATACAAAAGTTTGACAATGGCATAGTGTCACAGGGGCGCCCACAAAATGTTTGCCACATAATCCGATAATCTATGTATACGTGTAATATGCTATTGTAGTATATTCAACATAATGTTTTTCCATTGCCAGAATTTTGAACAGCCCACTGGGGCTCACAAATAAAAATATAAAATAAACCCTACTAGGATTCACAGTTATTATTTTAACTTGGTTTTGTTCGGAGATGAAATAAAATCCAAGACAATTCGGTGGTGTCCACTGCACGAGATTTGTAGGTGTGTCGTTTCCAGACGAACAAAGTTTATCGAGGGCGTTTAAAAAAAACTTTACTTCAGGCATAATAAAAAATGTATAGTATAATATACAAAGGACTCGTTAGCAGTGATCAGCCATCTGTGTCTTAATAATATTTGTTCGTTGTCGGTACAATAAATAATTGTAAAAAAATTCACTTGGGTGTAAATTATATAATATAATATTATATTTGTTTTGAACTGATTAAGATCACTTTACCTTCACGGAATATGATGGCAGGTCTTAAAATCAGTACATGGTTTGGATATATCAACAATGGCGTTTATAAGGCACTTGAAAAACATACAATAGGTACTCCATTAATCTCCAAGTGGACAGGTTTGGGTGCACTTATAATAATTTGAATACTTTATTTTCAACTACGATGTTTTTTTTTTTAAATTCTGGCTTTATTTTTTACTTTTTGATTGCATTGCATTTACATTATATTTGTAACACCTCATTAACGTCGTTGGTAAATATTAATAGTCAAAGACAATTAGGTTAATTTTATAGGTGGTCGAATTAAAAATATAAATGGTTTTGAGATGTTTACTGACATTTTAAATTTCAATTTTTTTTAGTTTTTTATTTATATTTAAATGCCAGGAAAATTGTATTTCTTGGGTCAAAAAGGGATCCTATTTTCTAGTACCTGTCGTCTTTCGTGACAATGTGATATGTGTATTAGGTATTTTTTTTTCGAATGCATAATAATACTATATTAATTTCCACTGTATATTATTATAACGATAACACGGGGCCCTGTATAGCCTATTTACCTACATTACTGTCAGGAGTCCATTTTCCGGTATCACATAGTTGGCAAAAAAATTGATTTCAGTTTTGATGGAAAAACTATAACTCAATATAAATCTCTAATGCAATTCTTATTTTGAACCTTTATTGGCTGCTTATTTTTAAAATTATTATCTGCATCATAAAATCTGTAAAAAACTATGTAACTTTAGGTTCACCATTTCGTTGCAAAGAGGTCTTTAAAAACTGACTTTCTAATATTGAGAAGTATTTTATCGAAAAATAATGGAGTGTCAAAGTCAGTCATGAAAATTCAATTAAAAGTTTAAAAACAGTTGTAAATGGAAAATAAAAATAAATAAAACGTTGTGCGTTGTTATATTGCGTACTTACAGCAATGTTGTCACATTTTTTTTAAAAATAATTTTACGGTTGAATTATCGAACAAATATATAACATGCTATTTTAGCCAGAGTTTTCAAAAATATAACCTTTACATTCTCTGAAATTATATTATAATTATTCATACAAATTCATTAATACATACGATTGAATAAACGTATACAAACTATGAGAAGTAAGGCAATGTATATTGTGATTACCGCAATCAAATTTATCGTTGTTCTACTGCATCGTAATACATGTATGCAGTAAATTAGAAACTTAATGTTAAGTTTATAATATTTATTTTTTTTTTGTAGTTATTAAATATTTATCACTTTATCATTAAAACATAAAACGTACATTGTGGGACATAAATGAATCCTTTGAAATTGTGTCCTTATTTAAAATAATATAAATATATAATATACATTATTTCATAAAAACTATAACAATATAGTTTTAAACATAGTAGTCATAATGGCTATTGGCTACCACAGAAGGTACAACATGTAACGTTGTGAAAGTTTATACAGAAATACAAGTGTTACTTAAATAGGTACACTTTTAAATAACAAACATTGTGAATTATAAAGTATAATATGTATACCTACAAGCAAAAAATCAAACAGAAATATTTACTGTGAGTAATAGGTGTAAAAATGTACAATAAATGAATATTTTTTTAAAATCCATACAGTTTTGATGATATGTATTTTATTTATACATTTATTGACATCACTTAAATACCGTAATCTTACAAAAGATGTTGGAAAAATTTAGAAAGAATGTAATAAATAATCCTCAATATTCAATTTTTTTTTTAAATATCAAGGATATATTTTAAATGGAATTTTGATTGAATAATGTCTTAAAGTTATTTTATGTTCCCAAGACGTGACATCTTGGTTGATTTTGGAATTATTGTATACTTTAGATTCTAAGCAATGCGCATTTAATACTACTTACCATATTATTTATATTATAATTCTTTCATATTATATTTGGTCAATCAGATATTCCATTTATGAAACCTTGTTTTCTTGGAGGATGAACTACTTTACTTTTAAATTTATATTCATATCTGTAGTAAGTTTCGAGATTTTTTATTTTTAATTAAAAAAAAAGTAAATTTAAAAGTTTTTAATAAAATAAAGTGAGAAGCGGCAATTCTAGATATTAATCTTATTTATTATAATCTCATCAAATAACTTACTATTTATGAATAGGTAAGCTATTTTAATTTTTTGGCTTAGTTAAATAAAAAAATTGTTATCTAATTAGTTATTAAATTCTAAGTTATATTATGACATTAAATTTATAAATATTAATGACATAAAGTGTATCGTAGATTGTACTAATAATTCTTAATTGATTATAATATTTAGAATTTAGGCATATATTGTATTGCGTTTCTTTCATCTTTATAAATGCTCAGCAATAAAAATAATTATTAAAATATAATTTTTCTCATTTTTCTTGAATAAACAATATTTTTTTACAACATAAATCAAATAAATATGAGTTTTTTTTCTTTTGATGTCTTGAGTATTATTTTAATTTTAAAATACAATTTTTAATATGTGTAATTTAAAAAAAAAATGGAATTTTTCATGGTAGAAATATTTTATTCAACACAAACTTTTAATATCTTAGTACGTAACATTAAATAGCTAATAAATAAAATAAATATATTGATGAATAAGA